ATTGATCCTGCATCCCTAGAATGGACACTTCACTTCCATCCATCCATCCATCCATCATCCATCCATCCATCCATCCATCCATCATCCATCCATCCATGGCTTCCCTTTAAGCTGCATCAGCGATCATCCTCCTTCACAAGCAGCTAAATCTAATTTAGAAATTTGTCCCATATGTCACTGACAGCCAAAGTCTTACTATTGAACCTTATATTTCAAAAATAATTTATACACTGAATTATATTATTTGTGCATTAATTCTTGTCGGTTTCTTATATTTTAATTTTAAGGCTGTGTCCTGTGAGTCTCTGGGTTGCTGCTATTTCTGAGTCCTACTAAACAAAAGACAAAAAGATATGTTGAATTTTATTATAGCATAGCGTATATCTTTTCTTGTAAACTTGGATATATATTTTATTGAATGTTTCATATCCCAGTAAATCTATTTCTCCTTTAAATCAGCAGCTCTCCCTAATTGTGTCTCTGCTCTGCTTAAAAACAGATTTATGAACCAGTCTACTGATCTAAAGATGCAAAAGAAAATCATTTTCCGGATCTCTAGAAGCTCTGATTCTCAAATCAACAGATCTGTGTTCATTTTAATTTGTAACTGAGTAATGGTCCTGAGAAGCCCAGCTTTTTTAACTAATATAAATGTACAATCGGTTTCCATTTTTAGCTGAAAAAGCTCCGTATGTAAGGAATAGATTTTTCGGTGGCATCTCTAAATTTTTTTAACCACCAGTCTCCTAACGTTTACTGAAACATCAAAGTAGCTGCTGGTTCATATTCACTGAGTGCTGCTGTGTCTCTCCTCCTCGTAGCGACTCTATAAGCAGTGAACAGTGACCCCAAAGCGAAAGTTCCCACGATATTTCAACAGGTGGCACTGGAGAGTAACTTTGTATCGTCCACCAGGTCCTTACTCTGAATTTTTAGATGAGTTTTCAGAGTTCCTTTCTGATTTGGTATTAAAGCTACAGTGTGTAATAATTACAGGGATATACAGTCAGAA